GTGCTAGTACTAATAATTTTTCTGGTGATTCTGTGTTTCATTACCTTACTAAGGATCAGTATTTCAAACTTTTACAACTTATTGGTGATAAGCAAGTGAATGAAGAAGCTTCTGTTAGTGCTAATATGGCAGGTACTTGTTATTTTCAAGCTTTTAATTCTTTTGTCTGTAGTCAAAGATGGATAGTTGATTCAGGGGCTAATCAACATATGACTGCCTCTGAGTCACTGCTCCATGACACTATGGATGTGTCAAATTTAGATCTGCTGGTGTGTCATCCCAATGGTACATCAGCTAAAATTAAAAAAATTGGTAACATGAATTTATCCAATTCTTTAACACTGTTTGATGTTTTTGTTGTTCCTGATTTCAATGTTAATTTGCTTTCTGTTCATAAGGTTTGTAAAGATAGTAATTGTGAGGTTGTTTTTAATGAGCATAATTGTAAAATTCAGGATTTACAATCAAAGGTGATGGTGGGGAGTGGTAGAGATTCTGGAGGTCTCTATTACATTAATAGTGCACCTTTAGGTAGTCTATCTAATTCTACTATTTCTTCTTATGTTTGTTGTGTGTCTAAGTTAACTTGGCACAATAGACTTGGTCATCCTTCTGATCAAGTTTTAAGTTCTTTGAGACATAAACTTAAGATTGGAAGTGAAGTACTTCCACCTTGTGACATTTGTCATAAGGCTAAACAAACTAGAGAATCCTTTCCTGTTAGTCAGCATACTACTTCTAAACTTGGTGAGTTAGTTCATTTGGATGTTTGGGGTCCTTATAAAGTGACAACTTCAGAAGGATTTAGGTATTTTTTGACTATTATGGATGATTTTACTAGGGCAACTTGGGTTTATCTTTTAAAGTCTAAGGATGAAGTTTATGATTCTGTTCTTGTTTTCTTTAATATTTTGATTAATCAGTTTAGTATTAAAATTAAAACTATTAGATCTGACAATGGTATAGAGTTTTTGAACAATAGAATGAAACAATTAACTGAATCAAAAGGAATTTTGCATCAAACATCGTGTGTTCATACTCCACAACAAAATGGTGTTGTGGAGAGAAACCACAGGCACATTTTAAATGTTGCTAGGTCTTTAATGTTTCAGTCTGGTTTGCCAATTAAACATTGGGGAGATGCAATATTAACTTCATTTTTTTTGATTAATAGAACACCTACTTCAGTTTTAAATGGTTCTTCTCCCAATGAAATTGTTTATAATTCTACACCTGTTTTTGATAAACTTAGGGTGTTTGGATGTTTGTGTTTTGCATCTAAGCTGAATAATAATGATAAATTTTCTGAAAGGGCTGATAAGTGTGTTTTTCTTGGTTATTCTTCTGATAAAAAGGGTTACAAGGTTCTCAGTCTTGATTCTAATCTTATCTTTGTTTCCAGGGATGTAAAGTTTTATGAGTCAGTGTTTCCTTTCAAGCTTAGAACTTCATCTTTAACTGATAGTTCAGTTGTCAATGTAAATTCAAATGACCTATTTTCCTATGATGAGTCTACAAATTCTAGTTTTATTCTAGATAATACTAGAGCAGATAACTTGAGAAGTAGCCATCAGGTGGATGGTGCTAATGCAGACCAGGACCAAGATGAGACTTTTCCCTCTAATGTCAGCAACCGGACTGGTGAGGTAGATGTGCCTCTATCTGATGAGTTGTTTCCAAGTTCTTCTGCATTGACTGAGGAAACTGATTCAATTAATTCTAATCCTTCTGAAAGCTTGTCTACTAGGATCACTAGGTCTGGAAGGAATGTTCACATGCCAGTTAGATTTAGTGATTATGTTATAGAGGGTAAAAATAAATATGGTATTGAAAGAACAGTAAACTATTCAACTCTTAATACTGAGTCATTCTGTTTTATTTCTAATCTTAATAAAACAGTTGAACCTAAAACTTATAGTGAAGCAGCTTTAGATCCAAATTGGATCAAAGCTATGAATGAGGAAATGGAAGCCCTTTATAGGAATAATACTTGGGAAATTACTAATCTTCCTAAAGGAAGAAAAGCAATTGGGTGTCGTTGGATATATAAAATTAAATATAAATCTAATGGTGATATAGAAAGATATAAAGTTAGGCTTGTGGCTAAAGGATATAATCAGAGGGAAGGAATAGACTATGAAGAGACTTTTTCTCCTGTTGCAAAAATTGTAACTGTTCGTGTGGTAATAACAATGGCAGTAAACAGTTCTTGGCCACTTTATCAGTTAGATATTAATAATGCTTTTTTATATGGAAATTTATCTGAAAATATATATATATATATGTGTCAACCTGAGGGATATCATTCTAAGGATGATATAAGGGTTTGCAGGTTGTTAAAGTCCCTTTATGGACTTAAACAAGCCCCAAGGAAGTGGAATGAAAGGTTGTCTTCTTCTCTCTTAAGTTTTGGTTTTAAGCAAAGTGTTAATGATTATTCGTTATTTGTTAGACAATTTCAAAATACTTTTATAGTTCTACTGGTTTATGTAGATGATATAATTCTAACAGGTAATGATGAATCTGAGTTAAATAAGGTTAAAATGTTTCTTAAATCTCAGTTCTTAATTAAAGATTTAGGTGAATTGAAATATTTTTTAGGTATTGAAGTATTGAGAACTGAAAAAGGTATATGTTTAAATCAAAGGAAATATTGTATGGAATTGCTTCATGAGTTTGGTATGCTAGCATGTAAACCAATTAAAACTCCACTTGAACCTAATTTGGTTGTCAAAAGAGAATATGATTTGGAAAAATCAGATTATTTAGTTAATATAATTGAATATCAAAAACTTATTGGTAAGTTGATTTATTTAACTGTGACTAGACCTGATATATCTTATGCTGTGCAAATATTAAGTCAGTACATGCATAAGCCTTATAAGTCTCATGTTAATATTGCTTTCAGACTTTTGAGATACTTGAAAAACAGTCGTGGTATGGGAATTCATATAATTAACTCTGGTAGTTTAGATTTGATTGGGTTTGTGGATGCAGATTGGGCGAAATGCTTGTTTAGTCGAAGGTCTGTAACAAGATATCTTGTATATCTTGGAGGCTCTCTTGTTTCTTGGAAGAGCAAGAAACAGAATACTGTTTCTCGTTCATCCACAGAATCAGAATATAGGGCATTAGGAAGTATAACTTGTAAGGTAATATGGATTTTAAAATTACTTCATGATTTAAGTATAAAAACTAATTTACCTGTTGATATTTTTTGTGATAATGAGTCTGCAATTAAGTTGGCCTTAAATCCTGTATTTTATGAGAAGACAAAACATTTTGAGATTGATCTTCATTTTGTTAGGGAGAAAATTGAAAATGGAATTTTAAAAGTTAATAAGATAATGTCTTCAAATCAAAATGCATATATTTTAACAAAATCACTTGGTAGTGTTCAACATGAATATATTATAAATCGGCTTAATATGATTGATATTTTTAATAAGAATTAATTTTTTTTTGTGTCAAAATTAATGTTTAGTTTGAGGGGGCATGTTGAAAAGAATTAATGAAGTTTCAAACTTAAACATTAATTTGTTAAATGTGTTAATACGTTAGTTAATTAAAATGATAAACAATATATTTGTATGTATTTTGTATACGTGTTATTATACTGCAGGTAAAGAACACGCGGGTCAATTGATATACGGGTTATACCCGATGTTTAGTGGGTTATGATATATAAAGTGTTAGGTGATCTTGATAGATATGTACGAAGATATTGTTTTCTCATCTTATCTCTCAGTTTTCTCTTTATCTCAAGTTAGGGTTTGTTCATACATAGTTGTTTTACAAGATCTGTAATATGAGAGTATGAGTGTTTTTGTAGTGAGGTTTGAGATGTAATCTGTTGATGAAAACCATCTGTTTCATAGTGAATAAAATGATGATGTTGGGAAGATCTTGTGTCGATTATGTTTTTTTACACTTTACTTATACGACACATAAATATTAGGATCATAGAATGTCTCGCAAATCATTAGACATACACTATTATGTAGAAGATTTAATTATAATGCCTATTATTGGGGATTGTCCTACCATAATTTACGTCTCCAAGACATTTAATGTCTCTAACATCTACAAGTACTACGTGCAAGCATAATTTGTTTATCTTGGGGACTCAAGGTTAAGTTTTTCTCAAGTAAAAGGGAATTGAAGTGGAGCACATAGAAGATATTGCACAAGCCTAAGTGGAGAAATAGGAGAAAGAACAAGCAAGGGCTAAAGAGGCCCAACTTACAACATACTACCTTTTGATACATCAGGAGTTTGGAAGCCCATTTTATATTTTCGGAAAGCTTTCGGCTGGGAGCTCCAATTCTGATTTCCCCTCAAGCTTAGTAGATTTCTTTATTTCATTTTTATTCTGTTTTTATGACAAAATAAATTAAATCGATTCCTATTTTTTATACCTAAAAATTAAAATATGAATTTCTTTAATTTTTGTTTTTCATGTCCTAATTTAGCAGCTTAATTAGGGGAATTTCATATCAAATTTTATTTTCAGAAAACTTGACAATACGTGCCAAATTTAGCACTCTGTGTATAAAAAGATTTCTAAGCCATTTTTGAGGCATCTTAAATTCAATAATAAAATCTCATTTGAACATTTCCTTTTTCTTGTTTTTGGTATGTTTCACCTTATTTATAAAATGGTGGTGACTAAGCGTTTCCAACTTATAGTCGGTTAAATGTCTACCGGATGTTGGTGATTAGGGAATGTACATTTTTTTCCTTTAATATTTTTTTTCTACTTGAACCATTTCATCGGTGCCTATAAACTTTATGATACCATGGATTGTGGAGCCCACTTCTACAAATCTGACACATGTCTATTTGTTCTAAAACGATACTTCTTAAACTTGTTGAACGATATTTTTTATTCACAACAAATTAATAATCAAATAATTTATACTCGATGTTAGTTTTATTGTAACAAATTTTTACACGTTTGTCAAAATTTATTTTTTTTTACCCTAAAAGAATCTAAACTACTACAATCTCTCATAAACTCGAAACACCCCTGAAATAAAATGAAATCGATTATTCTGAACTAGAAACAAAAAAAAAAAAATACAAAAGAATTCTTTTTAAATAATTAAAAAAAAAATCACTCATATACCAGAAAGGCCTGCCCATCTCCCAAGATCACCAGGGTGGGCATAGTAGTATAACTTAATCCGGTTTAACAAAGACAACCCCGCCGCCAACGGCCGCCCTGTATCGCCGCCGTCTTCCGGATCATCGGCAAACCCAGCAACATCTCCGACCAGCCTGAATCGTACTCGTCGACTGTTCATCGCTTTAGGAAAGTCAAAGTACATCGCCGTTCCACTCTTCACCTCCGGTATCCGGTACTCTGCAACCACCACCGTCTCCTCCGACAACCCCTGAAAGTATACATCATAACAATTTATCATGATTATATCCGGTGCCACAACCACCGTCATCTAAAATACAAGACATTTTTGGTGCTCGGAGTACCTTTAATGTCGATACTTGAATACGTAATACCGGTGGAGATATGAATCTATGTTCGAAAACTGTAGATACTGCCTCCAATGCTGAAGGTGAATGTTTTAATCGAGGTTTTATAGCGCTAAAACCGTCGAGCCGGAAACCTGCTGCTACCGGTGAAGACGGAGACATGTTTTGTTCCAAAACCAGATCGTTCTCGATCAACTTCTCGGATTCAATCGGAGCCTGCAACAAAAAAGATAAATTCAAATCCTGCGATGATGTTTATGTAATCGGAAAAAAGTTTAATCGTCAATCGTACCTTGTATCTGTTTAACAATGGCGGTTTCTCCAGCCAATTTTTGATGCTACTAGCATGCTCAGATCTCTGCGACGACGACCGCTTTATATCCGCTTTCACCGGAAATCCAACTACGAGAATTCTTTTGGCGTGCAGAGACGGAATACTTTCCGATGTTCCTGCTATGGAGGCGCGTCTGCCGCCGGGATCGGAGGCCGGAGTTTCATCAAAGGATAAAAGATTGAAATCGTTCTCGAAACTCACAGAACTCGATCCAACTTTCTGGATACTCAATTTTATCCAAATCATACGACATCGCACAGGATTTCGGAAGTCGAATTTGATGTGGCGAGGCGTTTGAATATTGGATTCTTCTGGACCACAAAGCTCCGGCGAAGATGTGAGCATTGATTTCACATCCCATTTTCCGACACACGATCTTTCTTCCTTGTGTATTTTGTTACTTGCCCAAATTTGGACCTGTTCAATAACAGAATATAAAATTATGAATGAGTTTGGTATAACGGAATTGGAACTGGAATTGGAGATTCCATTCTGTGACGTGGTTTACTTACGATGGGGGAATCGGACATGGAATAGCCACAGGGACTAACGAGAAGGATGACGCCGGAGACATCAGAGAGACTGCCGAGAACGATAATAAGCTCAGTAGAAGAGGTGGTCGGAGGTGCCCTCCAGTACGACTGTTTTAATCCGGTATTCAAAGGTGCAAGCAACGACAATGGTGGTGCTGAACCTGACGCTGATTCAATCTATAAAAACAATAGAAATAATCAACAATTCAGATCTAAAGCTAGTTATTAACGATATTTTAACATGTAAAAGGGAAGATAAAATGATCTAATATATAATACCGAGTGGAGAAAGCTTCCGAATGGGAATTCAGCCAACGATTCTTCTCCATTGAGCAACTGTTGAAGCGCCGCCTTGACATCTCCATTTTTATCAGTCGACGACTCCTTTTTTCCGGCGATATAATTCCTCCCTACAATTTCACCTAAAGCTTTATACGTCGCCGTTTCGGCATCCCTATTTCTTCTCTCGCTAATCAAAACCCTAAGATAATCCAAAGTCAACGCATCAAGAACACTATCATCACAACACAGCTTACAAATAACCCCATCCATCAATAAACACCGTTCATTAACACCACGATTCTGAAGAACAAGTACAGCACCTTTTCCCGCGCAACAAACTTTGCAAACCTTCCGATTACACGCAGAGCATAAATAAATCGACTGTGAAGAAGAAGAATTCAAAGTCGAAGTCCCCATATGAACTTGACACGATTCACTGCAACAACTCTCCCCAATTCTGTTAATATTCCAAAAATCCACATCGATTTTTTCATTTTCGATAATCTCAAGACCAATCGCACCAGTAATTCTGTCTTCTAAAGAAGCTTGACCTAGAAATGCAACCGCATTTGCGGCTTTACATAATGAAGAAACATAAGATTCTTCTATTAACACGTTCGGATTTATACTTTCTGGATCGATTCCAATTGATGATAAAGCTTTATCGCGTTCAACACCAGATAGATTGAGCCTAAGACGTTCGATTTCAAGTTTCATCCCTTCTTTAAACCCTAATTTGTTACCCTGCAAAACTCCATAGTCACTTTTTTTTCTTCTTCTTGTTGAATAATCTAAAGAAAATAGTACTAATAATCTAATATCCATATCATAATTCATACCCCATGTAAAGCTGACAACATTTTGAAGCAAGTTATGTACTGAAGTGCTTCTACGTCCCCTTTGGTTTGTATTTCATCTTGTTGTATTGAATTTGTTTTATTGTCTTCAATGTAACCATGATCAAGCAAACTGATTTCTGTCATTGGTTGTGAAACAGATTCTGAAACGATGTCATCACCTGACAAGAGATCCATTGTATCAGATTTGCCAGATGGCGCCATGTCATTTGTCAAAGCAATAACACACGGGTTGTTCTCTTTGATACTATTCAAACGTTCCCATAGCTTTTCAGATGCAAATATACCTCTCCATGGAAGAGAAATCCCAAGTATCTCCACCTACAAACACATGTAAAAGATATAGAAAAACACACACACATACGAAAGGGTAAAAATGTAAAATACAAGAAAGTGAAAAACATAATGTACCTCACCGATAGTGACAGGGGAAGTGGTAGACTCAGATGGGTAGAATGTGAGAACAACCACCCGAGTAAGAAAGTCCAAATTGCCCTCGCGACCTTCGAAATCATATAAAAACGGTAGCTTAGGTTTGTGGGTAGGTGGGGTTGTTACACTTCTTGTGAACGCCATGTCATCGTCACTAATGGGCCCCGGTATTGGTATCACCATGTTTGTACCATTAACACATCTAGCAATGGAAGCTCCCTATATTGTAAGCAAAGAAAGACCCGTGTTAATTACTTAATTAGCCCTAATGTAACCAATTATAGCAATGTACTTTCAAATTAATGAAAGTAGGTTGCTATTTCTTGATTTTTTAAAAACTTGTAAAGTGAAACCTCTAAAACAAGTTTAAGCTCATCAAGATCGCGTCCTGTTCTGACATCGACTGTTGATGGATATGTTGAATCGTCTGCACCGTGTGAAATTGTGAGAAGAAGCTGACAAACATGACAAGGCTCGCCAAGGTAGATAAAAAGTTGTATTATATCGGCAGCTTGTTGCGAAATCTGTACAAAAATCAATCCAAATTATATGCTGGATAATGAATTAGTTGAAAAGCTAGCTTTTAGCTTATAAGCTAGCTTATCAATCAAGTTAGCTAATAAACTACAATAAACTACTTTTATGATTTTATCAAATGTTAAATTACAATAAGCTAGCTTAATTTTGCTAAACATTGTCTTCGTTTTTTTGTGAAGCCAAAAACCTGAAGTTTATGGGTCCTATCGACTCCTTTTTATACAAATCTATATAATTGAATTCAAATAACTAAATAGTATATATAATTTTTTTTATTATAGAAAAGAAAATTAAAATACATAAATTTTAATTTAGATCTACTTATTCTTTTTCTATAAATACATATATTTGGAATTTTTTAAATTCATATATTTATCATTGTTCTAATTTATAATATTTATATAGTTCTAAATGTTACCAAATTTCAAACTTTTTCTTATTTACATTTTTATAAAATCTTAAAAAAGATATTTCAACACCCGTTCCTTAAATAAAATAAACTATAGTTACCCAGATGAGATTTTTATGTTTAAAACTAAGAAGACTGTCTCCATCATCAGAACTCGAGTCAATGCTAGCAATCGGTTTAAGAAGACAACCAGATCGTCTACTTAGCACCTAATAAAAAAAAAACAAAAAGATATAATGTCACATTAGATGTTTTCATAAATATAAAATAAGCGATAATCACAAGGACCAAAACTGAAAAAGGTTTCAACTTTGGACCATTTTTGGAAAAAGTTACATACATGCAAAGGTTGAATTGATATCGAAGGAAGATGTTTAAAAAGCCTTAATCCAAGAAACATCTCTAACTGTTTCTGTCGATAACTATCCACAACTGCATTATTATATCTTCTTTGAAGCGTTATCTTCACATTTTGCGCAACTGAAAACTGTTTATTTTTCGCTGCTTCTTCACTAAAAATACTCAAAATATGACTATGCATTGCTTTAGAACCCGTATAAATAGTCGCATGAATATCACCCGAAATTAAAAAAAGCTCAGCTAACTGACAAACAGGTGACAAAATAGTCGACCTTTTAAACTCCTCAAATGTCATATCAAATCTCTTCCACGCCTTATCATTACACGACCGCATCCTCGCTAGCGACCCGCTTGGCTTCAACGCCACGTCAGCATCAAGAAAAATCCCAAGCCGCCTACATTGTTCAGTGAACACCTGTAGCCCACCAAAATAGCTAGCAGCATTTGTTCTATCCAAAGAATCCGCACAGTTGTAACGAATCACACCGTTTTGATGCACGTGTAAGCGAAAGCAACCGATGATGTCATCGTTGGAAACGATGACATCATCAGCTTCTTGGATATTTTCACGAGAATGTAAATAATGACCTTCTGTGATCCCTATGGAGATTGTGGGAGATTTTAAATGATACCAAAGTCCTTCAATTGTTTGTTGTTCGCCTTTGAATCGAATACTTGTATGCCAATCGTAGTTTATTAAGTGGAGTCTTGTGTTAGGGAGTTGACCGTTTGACCGGATGTGATTTAAGGATTCTTCGAAATGTTGGACTAAAATGGATTCGGATTTTCCTTCTCCGTTTCTAAGAAGGTTGATGCATACAATGGGGACAAAGCCGATTTTATTTTGGTTTCCGTTTATACCCTTGTTTCTTGAATCGTATCTTTTGGTTAATCTTTGGTAATATCGTGCGCTTCCTTTGTAAGGGTCACGGTCAGAAATGTAAATTACTGCTTCTGCTGATGTCATCTTTAGCTCTGCACCCCACCATATGGGAATAGTGCCTCGTCTCCATATGTAGGTGTTGAAAGGCACATTTTGTCCATCTCTTTTTGGTACCCATACAAGTTGTTCACACTCGATTTCATTTCCTATTTCATAAAGATGCTAATTAGGCTATGTTTGGTAAACTAGTTGGTAGCTGATAGCTGATAAGTTAGTTGAAAGATTTATAACTAATTAAGGGTACATTCGGAAAATTTTCAAAAAGCTATTTAGGCTATGTTTGGCGTACAAGCTGAAATGCTAGCTGATAAAATTTAACATTTGGTAAAACTAGCTGATAAGCTAGATGAAAGATATAAAATGACATTTAAAACAATATGATTATAATTAATCAAGGGGTATATTTGGAAATTTAAAAAAAAAAAAAAAAAACTCCTAAAAAGCTAGCTTATAAGCTACTTTTTGGCTTGCTAAACATAACAACCTAAAAAAGCTTGAAAAATAAGCTAGTTGTGGCGCGTCAAATACAACGTTAAAGTAGCTTTTTAAAAAAGCTAGCTTATCAGCTACTTTTTGACTTGCCAAACATGAGTATTTATACTAGCTCGAAAACAAGATAGTTTATCAGCTAACTGTGGTGCGCCAAACACAGCTGTAAAAGCATATACAAAGAAAAAATTGTTGAGAATAGCAACGAATTTTACCCTTTTTGCAAATATAGGCAATGTATTTTATTTGTTATATGTTGCTATTAGAGCATCAACAATAAGGGACCTTTTTCATGAAAAAGCTTAATGTGAAAAAGTTTATTTTATCTCTACAATAAGAAAGCTTTTTTCAATTTGCTTTTTTGTGGGACCCTTGTGTAAGTTGTCTGTCTACAATTGGTTGAAAACCTATGGGGCCCACCGAATCATTGAAAAAGCTTCTCCAATAGCTTTTTTCAAATTTCATGAGCTTTTTGAGGTGAAAAAGCTCCTATTGTGGATGCTCTTTATCAGTAAATAAATGTAAGTATGTTGCTATTATGAGTAAAAAAGAGTAAAGTAGGTTGCTATTTTTGACAATCTACCTGTGCTATAACAAGAGTTTAAGCCTCTTGCTAAATATCGAGTGCCAGGATGCAACCTACTACGCCTAGCTATAAGAGCAACAATTCCATCTTGCTGACCTAAGCTTCCAAAAGTTCGATATTCCACAAATCCCTATAAGTATAGGAAGAAAATTCCAAATAAGATGATAAGGGCATTAATGTAGTTTCAACTTTTCAAGTCACAAAGCATCAAATACCTGAAGCAAAATAACACAGTGTTGATCCAACCCAATTCTTTTGAAAGCAGTTGAAAACCATCCATTCCAAACAAACTCATCATCAGGTGTTTTTACAGAAACTCGACTAGGAAATGGCCTTGTGATGTCTCTTGTTTCACAAAAGTAATGTTTTCCATCAATTTCAAGTTCAGTGAGTTCTTGAATGTTTTTGACTTCTCCTTTCCCTTGTGGTTGAGGATTTTGAAGAAAGATTTTGATCCATTTGCTCTCACTAATGGTGTATACACAACCACCACCTGGTAGAAATGGAATGCTAGCTGTTAACTTTGTGGCAACAAGCAATAAGGCTGAGTTTCCAAGAACAGCATATCCCAATATGGCTTTTGCATGAATTGTACTTTTGCAGATGAATTTTGAACCATTTGTGATGTAGTTTAGTGCTTCTTCTTGGGAGTTGAAAACATCATAACCTAGCTTTTGGTCATGGTGAAGAGATCCGGTTGTTGGATCAATGTAAATCACCTGTGTGTCGCTTCTAGTAGATAAACTAACAATGATATATACCTCACTTGTATCAAGTGTAAGGATAACTACAGATGTATTCCTTGATCCACCAGCTTTAGGTGATTCCATTATCTCATAATGAATCTGCTTTAGGTGTTTATGACAACATTAAGGTTGAGCCTATAGTCTGAAAGAAGATTAAATACAGAGGTTAGTTGATTGAGACCAAAAGCATCAGTTTATGTAACAGGAGAAGATAAGTGAAAAGCTACTCATCAAAAGGGGTAGATGTATATAGATCATAATGTAATTGCATTTCCTCAAATTGGATATAGAGATTGAAAGCACACATATTTCCCAAAAAGCAGGAGGTTTATTAGCAAAAATCTATGTTTACCTTCGTGATAAGATAAGTAAGTGAATTTAAGAATCGAGCATCGTTTAGAAAGCAAATGAATACAGATAATCTAGAGGAATTGGAAATGTGAAAATAGGTGTAAGTAATTAATTAGGCGATAATTATTCGACCAATTTTGGAAATTAAGTTCACTCTTAGCATCTAAATCAGTGATATAAACTAGAAGAAACTTTAATTTCAACTAGCTCGAATCCAGAAAAGGAAACCCGATACAAATTTATCTCAAAATCCGCAAATTCAAGTGCACTTAATCTAAACGCGATCAAAACGGTAATAACACTTGCAAACAAGCTAATGAAATTGATCTGAAATATAGATAAACACAAATTCGCAAGTAAACAAAACCTGATTTCATGAAAACCCATGATGCAGAAATTGCCATGTGTCGATGAAACAAAACAACGGTTAAGTCTGAAATTGGAAAAGAAGAATGAAGAGATTGGATGATAGATTAGAGAGAAAAGAAAAACTAACCGGGAATTTGCTTGAGAAAATTTATGATGAAAAAGGTGAATCCAGACAGAAATCGAGAAGAAAAGAAAAGATCCAAACGAGAATAACGAAAGATAACTCTCGCGCGCTCCCTTTGCATCGAATGTAAAACAACTTCCGTGAGGGGGTACACTTTCTGTTTTTAGTTTTGTATTAATGAATCAGAAATTCAAGGGCAAAGTTTTGTAAAATGTTCAATTTTTAAAAAAATATGTTTTTATATTAATTTTCAAATAAACTATGTTATTTTATAAGATAAAACATTTACTACCGAAACTAAAAAAAACTTTTGGTTTTTAGAAGTCCCTATTCTTTATAAACACAACATAAATTTCTTATCCATTGATTATATTTCATTTAATAAAGATTTTAAAAAAAAATTATTTTCTATATTATAAATGATCTCCAAATTTTTTATTTCAAATTTTTACCGCAACAAATGCTTTTATGTTTATATTAAAGTAATAATTAAGTTTTAAATATAGAGGAAATTAAGCAAACTCTATTTGTTGTATGTTAATGTTGGCTAATTAAATGAAGAGTAAATCATTATGGTTTGGTCAAAATTGCATTTTTGGTCCTTAACTTTTTTTTTTTTTTTTGCACTTAGATCGTCCCGGTGGTTTTATTTTGTTGCGTTTTTCGTCTCTTACATACATAAAGTTAGAGATCAAACATACAATTTTGATCAAATCATATGGACGAAAAACGCAACAAAATGAAACCACAGGGACAATCCGAATGCAAAAAAAAAAAAAAAGTTAGGGATCAAACGTACAATTTTGACCAAATCATATGGACGAAAAACGCAACAAAATCAAACCACAGAGACAATCTGAATGCAAAAAAAATAAATAAATAAAATAAAATAAAAAAAGTTAGGGATCAAACGTACAATTTTGACCAAATCATATGGACGAAAAACGTAACAAAATCAAACCACAGAGACAATCCGAATGCAAAAAAAAAATAAATAAATAAAATAAAATAAAATAAAAAAAGTTAGGGATCAAACGTACAATTTTGACCAAATCATATGGACGAAAAACGCAACAAAATCAAACCACAGAGACGATCCGAATGCAAAAAAATAATAATAATAATAATAATAATAATAATAATAAAAATAAAAATAAAAAAGTTAGGGATCAAACGTACAATTTTGACCAAATCATATGGACGAAAAACGCAACAAAATCAAACCACAGAGACAATCTGAATGCAAAAAAAAAATAAATAAATAAAATAAAATAAAATAAAGTTAGGGATCAAACGTACAATTTTGACCAAATCATATGGACGAAAAACGCAACAAAATCAAACCACAGAGACGATCCGAATGCAAAAAAATAAACAAATAAAATAAAATAAAAAAAGTTAGGGATCAAACGTACAATTTTGACCAAATCATATGGACGAAAAACGCAACAAAATCAAACCACAGAGACGATCCGAATGCAAAAAAAAAATAATAATAAAATTAAAAAAAAAAATTAGGGATCAAACGTACAATTTTGACCAAATCATATGGACGAAAAACGCAACAAAATCAAACCACAGAGACGATCTGAATGCAAAAAAAAATAAATAAATAAATAAAATAAAATAAAAAAAGTTAGGGATCAAACGTACAATTTTGACCAAATCATATGGACGAAAAACGCAACAAAATCAAACCACAGAGACGATCCGAATGCAAAAAAAAATAAATAAAAATAAAAAAAATAAAAAAAGTTAGGGATCAAACGTACAATTTTGACCAAATCATATGGACGAAAAACGCAACAAAATCAAACCACAGAGACGATCCGAATGCAAAAAAAAAAAAAAAAAAAAAAAAAAAAAAAAAGGTTAGGGATCAAACGTACAATTTTGACCAAATCAACGCAACAAAATCAAACCACAGAGACGATCTGAATGAAAAAAAAAAAAAAAAGTTAGGGACCAAAACGTGCAATTTTGACCAAACCATATGGACGATTTCAGTAATTTACTCTTAGAAGAATAAAGAGTATACAAGAGCCCAACATCAATAAAAAAATGACAAATGACAAATCAAAAGGAATTCTTATCAAAAAGGATAATTTTTTTATTTTTTTTATTTATATTTCTTCTATGTATGTAAATATGTACATTAACAAATTTTGTCATTCTTTTTCAGCTATTACAACAAAAACATCTTTCAACGACCAATTCCTCTTCTCCATTTTTCCCGGAGGATTAATCACAGCTTTCTCTACATTCCCTAAACGATACCCAATCACTATTTCTCTCCTTTGTCTCGCACGCAAAAGTATTTCATAAAAACTCAATTCTTCTCCTTCCTTAATGTATAGATCCGCTTGCCTTATGTGCATCTCATTCCCCTACTCCCCCCAAAAAAACACAAATGTTAAGAGATAATCACTCAAAATGGACTTTTCAAATTACAACATTGTAACAAGAATAAATGCATTTAACCCAAAAATGTATGATTAAGGTGGATGTTTGAGGTCGAAAACCAAAGGCACCTAAGGCCTGTTTGATAGACTTTTTTTCAGGTCCGAACAGATTTTTCTAGCTGAATGGGCTGGAAAGACTGTTTGATTTGCACAAAAAAAAAGAGGTATTTCCTAGTAAGATATGTCTTTCCCAGAACCATATCTTTCTGGCTGAATGGTCATTTTTCATCATTCAGTACAGTCAGTCAGATGTACAATCAAACAACATGGTTTCTTTCCCGCTCAGTAAAATTTTTTCCAGACAGCAACTATCAAATGGGCCCTAAGTGTGGTACCAAACAATCTCTGTGACTCCATTCCCAACCTTTTTATCAGACTAGTAAGAGGCATATCAAACAGCTCCTAAATTGGAAACAATGCAATTCAAGAGGATTACCTCTTCAGCAAAAAGCTCTTCAAGGACATCATTTATTTGGCGATCTTCAGCAACCATTGCTAAAGCCATACTAACAAGCTCATTTGATAGAACATAATCACTAATCCTTGACATTGATAATAAATTTTTAGTCCTTGGATCAAGGATTTCACTAATTATAACCGATTTATCTGAAGCTTGTTGCATTTCCCCTATCCATGAACCTTGTGAAAAACTACCTTTTCTACCATGAGAAGAAGCCTTTGCTTCTCTATAGGGTAGTCGCTTCGCCTACAAAAATATTAATTTAGTTTTTGCATTATTTTAAGTGTGTTTATTATATGACAAAAATGCTACAACAACTAAAACCACTTATTGTATACTTCGATGACATAATTTTAAGATATTTACATTTTTGGTCCTTGAGCATAGTTTCATTTTGGTCCCAAAAAGTTTTCTCGTGCAATTTTGGTCCTTATTTGAGGTTTTTGTAACGTTTTTGGTTCTGGTTCCAAGTAAAATGACCATATTTTTGGGACCAAAAGTAGTCATGTTACTTGGAAGAGAACTTATTGAGACCAAAATTGCAAAAACTAACTATAGTCAGGGACCAAAAACGTAAAATTAGTGGTTCAACAAAAGGGAAATTAATGGTGTGTCAAATACCAAAAACGTACCTGGATATCACGTATTAATAGCAGTGTAGCAAGAGACCTTGAATCAGCTTGTATTGCTGAATCTTCTACTGATTCATCAGCCAGAATCAAGATCTATAATAACCATGAATCATGATCAACATCAGAGTTCAAGATGCTATAATAACCATAGAATGGAATCTTGAATTCCAATTCCATCGGAATTGGAAAAACAAGATTCTATAATAACCATAGAATGGAATCAAGATCTATAATAACCATGAATCATGATCAACATCAGAGTTCAAGATTCTATAATAACCATAGAATGGAATCTTGAATTCCAATTCAATCGGAATCGGAAAAACAAAATGTGACTTAAGTTAAGTTGAGTCAACTCACCGAGTCAAAAGATTCTAAAGGAAGGCTTTCCAGGTGGCGACGTATGACAGCATTCCCTTCACGATGAACAAGTGTTATATTCATCAATCTTTCAATGTCTAAACCACCATCAATAAGCTTTTTTTCCCTCTCCCCTTCAAAAACTTCATTAAACATCCATAACTCTGAACCTGGTGCTAAAAAAGCATCCAGCACCTATTAAAATTTCAAAGAAAAAAAAAACATAAATGAAAATGTAGCACATGAATTATTTGAAATAGTGTTGTGCGGATTCCGATTCTGCCCCTGAAGATTCCTTGTTGTTGACTTCAGTACTTTACCATAAT